GGTCTGAAGTCCAGAGGGCCCTGGTGGGAAGTCCCGTGTCTGCCTGAGACAGGAGAGCTGTGAGGGCAGGCTGGGCCTTAATTTAATAGCCTGTTCACACGGCTTCATTGCACTTTAACCTGGACTTTGAGCTCTGGCTTTTGGGTTTCTCTAAAGAAAGAACTTGGCCAGGGTGTTCCTGGTCATAGCTGGACCATGGCCAGCATGCCAGGGCATGACCGGCAGGTCCCTTTGACCTCTGGCGTGTATTTAGGGACCATTCCGAGTCTGGAGGAACTGGAGACCAAGCTGCTTGGGGTGAGGAGGTCAGCACAGAGAGTGAGGAGTTAAGAGCTGCCAGCAGGAGGGTCACTGTCCCTGATTCTACTGTCCGCCGACCACTGGTGTCAGCTCTCAGCCTGCCAGGAGGCTGACGTGGTCTTGTCCACAGTCCTTCGTGTACGATTCCTTGACCGTGATTCCATCCTCTGGTCATGCAGCCGTTATCACAGGACAAAGTGTGTTGTGTTCAGTTCGTTTTTGGTGGTAGTCTATGCTTCTAAGGCTACTATGGTGACCTAGTGGTTAAGGAGTGGTGCTGGCCACCCAAAGGTACTGGTTTCAAATCCACCAGTTCCTCTGTGGGAGAACGATGGGCAGTCCCCTCCTGTGCAGTTAACTGTCTCTGAAAACCCACCGGAAGGTCAGCTGTGGGGCAGTGTCGACTTGACGATACACAACACAACAAACATGTAGGGAGCTGAGGTGGCCTAGTGGGAAGAAGCTGCCCTGCAGTCCCAGAGGCACCTGGTTACACCAGCCACACCCGTGGGTGCAGGGGCAGGTGGGCACTCTCCCCTCGTGTGATGAACAGCCTCTGAAAACCTGCGGGGGCTCAGCTGTGGGTCGGTTCTGGCTTTGTGACTCAGCTCTCAGCGTCCGTACATTGTTTTACACGTACAGACCAGCGCCCAGGCTTCCTGTCCACATGGGTCACCCTTCTCACCATCTCCTCATACTGACTCGTCACCATGAGCTTAGACTCTGCCCTTCAGGTTGTCTGTGCTTTAGATCAGCTCATAAGACTGAGCTCACACGGACGGGTCTTCACAGAGCACAGTGTCCGAGGCAAACCTTTATTAATTGAACTGAAACATTGGCTGGACACTGGGATCCTAGGCTATTTCCGGGTCGACGTCTAAGGATCCTTTCTGGCTTCATATTTGGGGATCCCACAGTCTCCCTTGACTCCTGCAGACGGTCTCCATGTGAATTTAAAGGTCTCTGCCCTTTGCTTTCATCCTTGTTCAGAATTCCCCTCTAAGTCCCTGATCAGCCTCCACATCTGGGTTCTGGCCCTTCTATCCCTCAGAAGTGTGAGGAACCTCGTGTAGGCAGTGATTCGGGCTGCAGCACACACACCCCGGTTCTCGGGTCACCACTGGCTCCTGCTGTTGGGGTGAATGCATACTAATTGTCGACCAGATGTTTCTCAGGCAGTATAGTGCCTTTTCCCCTTTTAGGATGGTTCTGAGAAGCTAGGGAAGAGGCACAGGATGAAAGTAGCCGACAGTTGGAGTGGCTGCTTTGTGGGTCTGCTTGATACTTCAGGTGGTTCACACTCCCACCTCCTCCAGGCCACCCCACAACCTGCAGGCAGCAGGAGCTGTGATGCCCACAATCCCCGGGCTTGGGAAAGCCATGGAGAGATAAGAGGACTGAGAGATGAGCCGGGAAGGACTGATGGACGAGCGGGAACCACGAGGGACATTGCTCGGGAACAGCTCACAGAGGAGCATCTGCCACCAGCTTCTCCTCATGCTGCTGGCCCTCGTGTCCGGTTTGTCCTCAGTGAAGGTCAGGGAGACAAAGGCCTTTTTGTTCTCGCTCACTAATTGAGGGGCCTTGGGCTGGAGGACGCTGAACTCCTTGTTCTGACTAATCAGGAAAAGTGGAGAAGAAACATCACACACAAAGTTGGTCATTAACCAGGCCAGTGATTTCTTGCAGGCCAGTGTTGGCTTTCCTCAGAACCGAGGGGAAGGGCAGATGTCTCCCCAGCTCTCCACTCGTTGTTTGTAAAACTTACCTCCTGGCTCCCATCTTTGCTCTCAAATCACAAGTTTTGACGTCTGCATTTTGTGGGGTGGGTGGTGTGTGAGTGCGTGCATGTGACCAACGTCTAAATCACCTGGAAAGCTCCCTGCTCCTTCAGATGATGAAATGGACGGAGAGGGGAGAGTTTGGAGACAGGACGAGGACTGTATATGTTAAAAGGAGAAACCAGACCTCACAAAGCAGAGCTCACTGTCTAGTCCATTCCAGGTTGTAGGACAGATCTGCCCCCGAGTTCTCTAAGGCTGTCACTCCACAGACGCAGCAGGGAGGGTCTAAAGGTTCGAACTGCTGACCTTTAATCACGGTACCATCAGAGCTCCAAATAGTCCATGCCCCTGTTAGTACCTTTCTTATACTGGGGGTGGGTGCATGCAGGTGTGCACGTAGACAGGCGCTCGGGACTGCTTTGAGAAGCCATTCCGTTCTGGTGGCCATTCTGCAGCACACAGTAGTAAGGGAAGATAGCACGTATTTTAGGCATCTTACAAGGCAAGGCTGAGCAGGGCTCACTTTTTCTCTCTGAAGTTGGCAGGCGCACCGTCAGTGTCCAGCAGGCACCTGGGTGCTTCTCACACCAAGCTCTGTGAGGTCTTCCAGTCCGACCTCTGGAGGTCGCAGCTGTTGGCTTCCATAGTCTGGTTGGGACTTGCCCTCTACTCTGAGGGATAAAGAGGCCTTTATGAGAGTGATCTTGATTAACAGCCATGACAGTGACAAGAGGCAGCTCTGACTGTCTCCTAAGCTTGCTGCCTTCATCATTAGCTGTCTGAAGAGAATGGCATTCTTAACTTACAGGTGAAGCCAGTGTCAGTTCCTCCCCTGTGGGAGCCTATCACCAAACCACAACGCACGGCATCAGCCTTGGGAGAGAGTAGAACTCATCCAGAAGTAGATCATGGGTTCAAACCACAGGTTTTTCTGTTAGCATCCGAGCACTTAACTCCTGTGCTACTAGGGCTCTGGCCCTCCCTTTTCCCTCTGAACATCCTTCTTGGTGACACCAGCTAAGTGGAAGGGCAGATGGGTTTTCCTTGTCACCCACAAGGAAGATGCTTCTGCACATCGGTGCCAGCAGGCACTGGGCCTCTACCTCTACCTCTGGTCTCTGCCGGTGCCTGCTTCATCTTGCTGATTGAGATGCTGGGAAGGGTGGTAGTGGATATCCGCGTGGGTTGTAGTGAGTTTGCCTAACCACAGAAGAGAACAGTTTGCCATAGCCAGGGGGCAGAGTGCCTAAGCCGTTGGTTGGCGCATCTGAGCATGCCGCCCTTGGGCAGCCTCATGAAAAATGCCCCGCCCGTCCTGGCGGCTGCTGTGGAAATTGCATTCACTGCTGTTGACGTGCAGTGGAGTCGCCGGTGACTCTTAGTGACCCTTTGTACTAAACGCCCTGAACCCGCCCTCTCCTGTGCCGGTCTCATTGTCTCCGTCACACCTATCCCCATTACCCCAGTCACTGAACCAATCCACCTCATCAAGGGTCTTCCATTCCTGCATTGTCCCTACACTCTCCCAAGCATGATGTCCTTCTCCAAGGTCCCTCCTTGCAACATGTCCGGAGTATGTCATACAGAGCTTCAGAATCCTTGCCTCCAAGGAGCAGCCTGGGATTGACTGTGCAAAGGCATTTGATTGTGTGAGCCACAACCAGCTGTGGCTGACTCTCAGAAGAATGGGAATCCCAGAACACTTGATCGTGCTAAAGTGAAACCTATACTTGGACCAGGAGGCAGTTGTCAGAACAGAGCAAGGAAACACTCACTGCATGGTTCAAAATTGGCAAGGGTCTACACCAGGGATGTGGCCTGTCTCCAGTCACTGTTAGGTGTCTTGAAATCAGTTCCAGCACATGGACAGCACTGTGTACGACTGAAGGAAACACTGCCCAGTCCTTTGGCGGCTTCAGAGTTGTTGCTGACGGAGTATCTGTCCGTCTTGTTGAGGGACTTCCCTCTGCTTTACCCAACATGATCTTCTTCAGGGGCTGGCCCCTCCCAGTACAAGTGTGTGAGACAGTCGCCTCATCCTGGCTTCTTTCTTTTTTTTAAAAAAAAAAAAATGTGTGTGTGTGTGTGTGCGCGCGCGCTGTCAAATCAGATCTGACTGGTACAGGAGATTGTCCCTCTTTCTCCAGCAGAGCATCTGGCGGGTTTGAACCGCGCACCTCTGGGATTGCAGTGTAGCTTCCTGCCACTAGGCCACCAGAGCTCCCCTCATCCTGGCGTCTAAGAACGATTCTGACGGTTTCCTCTGAGCTTGTTTGGTTCTGCGGGCAGTCAGTAGTCTTCACCAGCATTACAATTCAGAGACTCAGTTCTGTTTTGTTCACTGTCCTACTTTCCCATCATATGAAATAGTTGGAAAAATAGCATGTCCTGGGTCAGACTTTCCTTATCGCAAGGTGACAGACATCCTTGCATCTTAGCACTTGGAAGTTTTGCCCAAGGCAGTAATGACGTTTGCTTTTTTAATACCCATGGGCAATACTAAACAAGGAATGTTTTGTACTGCAGGGTCAGTACAACACATAGCTGACCCTCCAGTGAGTTTTCAGATGCAGCAAATTAAGCGGGAAGAGATTGCCTGTCTTTCTCCTGTGGAGCAGTTGGTGGATTCAAACCACATGCCTTTGGCTTGCCGGTGTAGCTTCTTACCACTAGGCCAGCAGAGCTCCCTAAATGAGTGATAGTGGTTATATGCCCGAGTCATAACCGGCCCTCCAGCGGGTTTTCAGACACAGCAAGTCGCACAGGAGATTGTCCTTCCTTCTGTGGAGCAGCTGGTGGATCCTCACTGTGTCCTTGGGATTGCAGTGCAGCTCCTTTCTACTAGGCCGCCGGAGCTCCCAGTACAGGGATTGCTAAATGAAACAAATCCCAAAACACAGATGTTGACTTTTCCAGAGATGTGAACACCGCGGTGATGGAGTTACTGATCATGGCTTACGCGCTGAAGACTGCCTGTGCCAGGAATATCATCGGGGTCATCCCCTACTTCCCCTACAGCAAGCAGAGCAAGATGCGGAAGAGGGGCTCCATTGTGTGCAAGCTCCTAGCATCCATGCTGGCTAAAGCAGGTGGGTGACCAGTGCCCGCAGACACCCGGCCGAGGTCCCATCACGGCTCGGCGTCTAGTCGGGGACGGACTTTTCAAATCTCCTGTTCCCTTTTTTGAGTTTATTTCCCTTTCATATACTTTGGGCGAGAGGGGCGAGCTAGCAGATAAAGTCTTATTTTTTTCTTTCGTTTGGAAGACACGATAGGATTTAGGGTTTTCAATTCTTAAATAGGCATTTCATCATTCATCACATTTGAGTTTTATCAGATTTTTGGCTGGTGGTCTTGGCCGCCTTGTGAGGTCTCTTCTGAGCCTCATGTCTAGATGTATGTGTTTGCCTTTGTTCGTTCATTTATTGAGGCTGGATTTTTGTTCTCTTCACTATATGTAGTTGTTCCTGTGATAGCCTTTCCGAAGAGCAAGCAGGGGTGTCTGACCAGTACATTGAATAGCATTTTACCATTGTTAAGTTTTATTAAAGGCCACTAAGTGAACTGCATTCACTTTAACAAAGTAGAAAACTTCAGAAAAGACAGTACTGCCCGTTCTGTGCTGTGGGAGATCTTAGACCTTGTTCTGTCCAGTGTGTGTGCAGGGTGTGTGGTGGGCGGCTGGCGTGGGTGTTTCTTTTGCACTGCTGGGGTGTCACCATCAGTATTTCTCCCTTAGAATGCTGTTTTACCTATTCCAAGTGAAAATTGGTCCCAGCTCTTCCGGTCTCTTGTTAGAGACGAGTCTCTTGCTTTCTAATATATTACTATATCTTGCTCTCCGCCTCCTTTCTCTCTTAGCCACCGCCTTCCCACCATTCTTCCTAGATTCTTTTAAACCAAAGCTTTGCCGATTTTCACATCACTTGCTCTCTAGTGCGCACTGATCCCATGTTCACACTTTGGCTCTTTCCTCCGTTTCAGGGTCCCCCTGGTGGCAGGCAGTCTCCGGGGGAGCCCTGTTCTCTCTCTGTTGCGTCCTTGCCCCTGTGGAAGGTGACAGACCCTTGCCGTTACGCTTGTCACATCTTCCAGCCCCATGAGTTACAGTGGACAGCTGGTGGGTTAGTTCCCAGTGTTCCCTGCCTCCATCCTCGTGCTGGGAGGCACTTCCCAGGCGTCAAGTGCGTCCACTGAGGCCTCACCGTGCATGGTGTAGTTGGTGATCTTTTTGTTTTGAAATTTCAGGTTTAACTCACATTATCACTATGGACCTCCATCAAAAGGAAATCCAAGGCTTTTTCAGCTTTCCAGTGGACAACCTCCGCGCCTCCCCTTTCCTGCTTCAGTATATCCAGGAAGAAGTGAGGAGCCACCAGCATCCCCCTTATCCTCAGCCCCTTTAGTCCGTGTCCCGTCCCATCCCGTCCTCCTCATCAGATGGCAGTGTGGCCAGGTGGCCTAGGCCCGTCCCCTCAGTCCTGACCCCGCGGCAGCAGGCAGGCAGAGGAGTCTCTTTCAAGGAGAGTTAGCCATTGCCTGTGCTTTGGGAATGCCTTTTTTCCGCTCATTGTAGCAGTACACTGTAACGTTGAAGTGGGAAGTGTAGGACCATGTGAGTGAAGGTCAGGCATATTTGATTGCTGATTTGCATCACTGTTACAAGAGGAAAGAAGAGAATCCTCTGTCCTGGTGATTTTCAGTATTCTCTCCCTCTCCTTCCGCCTCTAGATTCCAAATTACAGAAACGCTGTCATTGTAGCCAAGTCCCCTGATGCCGCCAAAAGGTAAGGCAGCGGGATGATTGCAAGGCTCTTGGGAGCTGATGTGGGAACGGCTTGTTCAGGGCCAAGGGTGTGCAGGAAGCTGGACCCTCAGTGTCATTGTCACGTCACATGCACGCCACCAACTACTGTCCTCCTCCGAAGCCCCATCTAGTCTGTCGACACCACAAAAGTCCTAATCCCGCCCCACTTTCCTCTGGCAGAAAATAAGCTGCTTCCCTTAGGCCTCAGGGATAGAAAAAGTAGGGCCGTGAGCACTTTTCAGGCCATTTTTTGTTCTCTGTTTTACTGTGGTGCAAAGCCATAGAACTAGACCTTGACCTGCCCAGCCTTTCACACGTCCGCTTTCGGTGATGGTGACGTGCTGACAGCCACGTGGCACAGCCATCACGGCCTTGTTTACGGGTGATGGTGTCCCCTCGTGGATACACAGCCCTTAAGCACTGGCTGTCCCCTCCTGCCCATCCACCCTGGCTATCGATGTATTTGGCTCCTCTACATTTTAAGGCCCCTCTTTGAACAAAGTGTCTTACTGATTATGACAGAAAATATTGGGCAAATGAGAACTGGCTTTAGAATCAGCTGCCCACTGGCCCCCACGCCCTGTGCCTCTGGGGTGCTTACATTCTGAGCTTGGCCTCGCATCCGATTTGTGTAACTCTTGTGAGTCCCTAATGGGTTGGGTGATGTTTTTGTTTTATGATATTAAAGCGAAAACGTGATGCTTAGCTTCCCCTCCCCACAGACCTCCTCCTTTCTTTCCTTTCGTCTCCTAGGGCTCAGTCCTACGCTGAGCGGCTGCGCCTGGGCTTGGCTGTGATCCACGGAGAAGCCCAGTGCACAGAGCTGGACATGGACGACGGGCGGCACTCCCCACCCATGGTCAGGAACACCACCGTGCACCCGGGCTTGGAGCTGCCCTGTGAGTTGGGCTCTGCTCTTGTTTTGTTTATGAACGGTCGAAAGCTGGAGACACCCCCCAGGGCTCTGGGAGCTGGGTGTGTGACTGGCGCGCGCCCCCCCCCCGTGCCGCTTTTCTTATGTGTGGATGGTTTTGCATCCTTGTCTTCGGTTGTGAAAGGGTATCTGTGCTCGTTGCTCACATGTGGAATTTACACCCAGGATCAAAAAACTAAAACTAGAGCTCCTAACTCTTGGCTCTGAAGCCAGTTTCAACTCACTGAAGACTCGCGTGCCGCAGTGGCGCTCTGCCTCGTGGGATTCCCTGCCTGTGGTCTCACAGAAGCAGGCGCCAGGCTGTTGTGGGCATCACCCCAGTAGGTCTAGGCCAGGAGCTACATTTGCATCCCCAGGGGCCTTGCAGCGATGGTGGAGTTTGCTGGGTAGCAGTTGGTGGGACTGAACGAACAGTAGCTTTTCTCCTTTGGTTTATAATGCTTCTCAGTCTGTGCTCCAGGTTTGTGTGTGGACAGTCCCCAGGCTGTGAAAGCCAACGTTTTACCAGTCGAGTAATTTCGTCCCTGTGCCAGAGTGTGATCGGTGACAGGAGGAAGCCTGGCGGTGGGAAGCTTGGAGGGGTCTGAGGCCCTTCAGGGCGGATGTGGGGGTGGGTGGCAGGGCCATGGACGTGGGTCACAGCTGCTCACAGTGCACAGCAGGCTGGCACACGGTGCGCACAGTCTTTGAGGCGCTGCTTTACTTCCATAAATGTATTAGGTAAACTTGCCTTCACTTAGAAATGGGCACGCGCACCCCTGTTCACAGCCTGTTCATCACAGTCGCTTTGACTTGCTGAATGTGCAGCAGCCTTTAAATCCTGGACAAGGCTCGGGGTCCTCGTCAGTGGCCCGAGTGTCCCAGTGAGACGAAGAACAGAATACTCTGTTCTGACCGACCCGCAGATGCTTGCGAGACACGGTTGCATCTTGTAACCCTTGTGCTGCGTGCATGCTGTTTCGTGAACTTCTGTGATATCTGACCAGTGCCCTGTTCAACATGTAATTTTCCTCTTAAACCATGAAAAGATGAACTCTGAGACCAAAAACATTTGTGGAGCCCTTATTATGTTCCAAGAACTGGTTCTCACACAACCCTTATGTGGAGTTCTCTTAGGATCCTTCACTCTGCCTCCAGGAGACACGCATGGGGCCAGGATTTGGGATGACGCGCTGGGTGAGAGTCTACACTGCCTTCCTATTTAGCTTCATATTTTGAAATAATTTTATTTTGCAACAAACCCAGAGTTTATTGGCTGACAGCCAAGGACTGGTTAAGTCACAGCACACGCTGATCCAGCTGGTCAGAGGTCCATACACCAACGCAGTTAATCGCAGAGCCTACGCTCCGTTTCCCAAGGGGGCATCCTAAGAGTTGAGCTGAGGCCTGGTCCAGCGTGTCCAGGTTAAAAGTGCCTCCCAGAGCGGGCTGGGGCCCCAATTATGCGCAAAATTGTGCTCTTGACCTGCAACTTAACCCCTGTTGCCACAGGCAGGCGCACTGGGGGCTCAAAGGCAGCATGTTTGACATAATTTTTAGACTTAAAAGAACCCAGTGGTCTGCCATACCCCCTTCACTTAGCATCCCTGATTTAACACAACAACACTTAAAACCAACACCCGATGTCCGCAGGTCGGTTGTGACTTTTGCTGGCCCTGGTAGACAGACTACAGCTGCCCCGGGGTCTGCTGGGCCACCATCTCTATCCTGTGGACAACTTGTCACACTCCCACGTTTTGAGTAGCAGCCACTGCTGTAACCACAGTGCATCCAGAGCACATGGGTGATTAGATACATGTGTTTCCCCGTGAACCGTGAGGGAGTGGGCTTCACTAAATACTTCGAATACCTACCGCTGCACTGCCAGAAACAGACTGACCCACGGTGCAGTTCCCAGACTTGGGAAACTGACATTGTTACATGAGTTTCAGCTGCTATCTAATCTTTCAGCCTTATTTCAGACTCCTCCCTTTTTCTTCAGTGAAAGAAAAACATTTCCCTGGTCCTGGATGCAGCCCAAGGTGAAGTGTTGCATTTCGTGACCTTCCTCCCTGGCTCCCTGGAGTCTTTGTCTGTTCTGACCTTGATAGTTGAGGAGGCCAGGCGGTTTTTCTCTGGACTGGCCCTAATTGCGTTGGTTTGGCTCTTCATGATTGGAGTCGTTCGTGCATTTTTGGCAGGAATGGCTCATGTGACTGGTGATGTCGCTTCGAGCCCCCTGGTTAAGGTGTTGGGCCCATTTTTCCCTGCCAGGCTGCTCTTCCTTCCCTCTTAATGAATACTGCTGTCAGAAATCAGGAACTCCTGGGGATGTAGCGTGCTAGACTAGACGTGGGGCTGCTAGCCAGACGCCAGTGCTCTGAGCCCATCAGGCATTGCTCAGGGGAAAGGCAGTGCCTTTTTTAAATACATTGTTAAATTTTATATTTAATATAACTTACTGTGGTTTTGAGGGAAGTAGCACAGCAAATTATGTTCTCATTTTTGTTTCTATATAAATTGGTCTGTGACAATAGTTAACAGCATGCAGTGTTTGAGCCTTCTTGTTCTGTTTTTGTTGGTTGAGCCTCCCTGCCCTTGCTAGCTTCTCCACTTTTGGGTAAATGTTGACCCTTTGTTCTCTCAGAGTTGACCGATAGACCAGTTATGTTTCAGTAATTCACTTCTTAGTCGTGAGGTTCAGATACTAGAATGTATGACGAGACCAAAGGCGGTTCGCTCCCTCTTGGCGTCTCCACCATTTGTCAGATGATGAACTACGGGGCACTTTTTATATCCCGCCCGCTCTCCCACGCTCACTGTGAAGGCAGGAGCTCCCGGGGCAGGTCAGGTTTGCCCCCATTGGACAGTGTCTGGAGAAGTTTATGGTTCTCGGAAGGGGGGATGATGTTTGTGCCACTGACATCACATGGGCAGAGATGGGGCTCAGCGTTAAGAGGCCACAGAGAAGATCCAGGACACAGTGCTAGCGTGGAGGCATAGAAAGCTGCCGTGCGGCACCTTCTGAGACATGTGGTTGCCTGAGTGTGGGAGGGGTCTCCAGTTGGCCAAGGTGGGCCTCCTCACCAACGGCAAGGGCACTGGCATCCTCGAGCCCAGAGGAAGTGACACGGATGGCCACGCTGCATGTGCCGTGCTGTCAGGCTCAAAGGGACAGGAGCTGCCCTTCCTTTCCTGGCTTGTTCATTTTACAGGGAAGGTGTGGTTTCCACTCGTTTGCATACAGGTCTGAAAGCAATTTCAGGCCTTCAGTATTAACGGCCTCGAGTTGACTGTTGACTGTATCTCACAGCAACCCTGAGGGGTGGGAAGGGAGCCCATTGGGTGCTGAGTGGCCCTCACCAGGCTGGGGGACAAGTAGGAGGGAGCCCACTGGGTGCTGAGCGGCCCTCACGGGGTGGGGGGGGCCTGCCTGTTGCTGAGAGGCCCTCGTGGCGGCGGGTGGAGCAGGTAGGGGAGAGCTCACCGGGTGCTGAGCGACCCTCATAGTCACTGCTGCACTTGAGCCTCTTGTCACAGCCCCCGTGTCCCTCCCTCTCCTCGTCCCCTCCTTTACACTGGCCCTCTGATTTACTGAGAATGATGTCCTCCTCCAGGGACAGCCCTCCTGATAGCAAGCTCAAAGTATATGAGACCAAATATGGAGATAACTGGATGGGGGGAACCCACGTTAACCTCACCTGCTTCTTTTTACTTTTTGATGTGGCTATTAAGACAGAGGACTTCAGTGGCTTCATGGCAGGGAGTCGTGCTGCCAGCCCAAAGGCAGGTCGTTCAAATCCATCAGCTGCTCCATGGGACAGATAGGGGCCGTCTCCTCCCATGGGGTTTACAGACTCGCAGGATGGGCAGCTCTGAGTCGGTTCTGAATCGACAGCACAGAACAGCAGCTGGACTAGTGGACATGTCATCTGTGCCTCAGCTCTGTTTGAGGCGCAGGGGTGTGCCCTGGAGACCTCGGCTGGGCGGGGGGGATCAGCTTCCCCATGTCAAGGCAGGAGGCTGCCTCCTGTTACCCAGAGACGTGTGACTAACCAGGGTCTTGTGCTCTGCTTTCCAGTGATGATGGCCAAGGAGAAGCCACCCATAACCGTGGTCGGTGACGTCGGCGGCCGCATCGCCATCATTGTGGTATGTGGTCCTCTGTCCCGTGCAGGTGGCACCCTGGGCTCCAGCGGTAGGCTCTTGGCTGGGCATCGCTAGACTAAGCAAGCAGGGATAAACCACAACTGTCAGTGGAAGGAATACCGTGTCTGCCCCAGAGCTGGTCCTACACTGACTCCCAGGAACGTGGGCTGGCATGGCCTGGGCGGAGTCCACTGTGCCTCCTCACAGTTCTCTGTGGTTTCCCTGGCCCGGCAGTCCGTCCTGTATTTCCACTTTTTTACTTAACTTCCCCTTGGGGGCACAGAAGGGCTGTACCAGATTGATGAGAAAGATGAAGTGGGTGGCGCTGTCCTGAATGTCCGCTCTGTGTTCTGGTCTGCGAGGAGGCACAGGGCTGAGGGTGGGCGCTCTCTGCCCCCCTCCAGGATGACATCATCGATGACGTGGAGAGCTTTGTGGCTGCTGCCGAGATCCTGAAAGAGCGAGGGGCCTACAAGATCTACGTGATGGCCACACACGGCATCCTGTCAGCAGACGCGCCCCGCTTGATTGAGGAGTCCTCCGTTGACGAGGTTGGTCCGTCTCTGAGGGTGGGACTGTCAGGGAGCATCCACGTGTGGGACAGGAACCCAGGAAAGAGCTGCTGCTGTGTCCATCCAAGGGTAGAATGACTTCGGCAGTGCAGGGAGCTTAAGGCACAGCATAAAATGAACCCGCTGGCCCACTGTCGACCACTCAGCTCTGGCTCGTGACTGGTGCGGAGTGCAGCTGCCTGTAGGGTTCCCAAGGAGCCCTGGTGTTGAACGGGCTAGTAGCCCAGAGGTCTGAGGTTCAAAGCCACAAGCTCGTCCACGGGCGGAAGGTGAGCAGTCCCTTCCGTAAAGATGATGGCCTCGAGTCAGACCATCGGCAGAGGCTGTCATCGCTAGAGACCTACAGCTTTCTTCCAAGCTGGCCGGTGGGTTCAGACTTCTGACCCTGTAGACGTGGTTAAACCACCAGCCACCTGAGTGCCTTAGATTGAACTGCTGCTGCTGCTCTTGCTCTTGGTAGTTTCCCGGGAAATGTGCCCTCGTACAGATCACCTCCGCGCGCTGGTATAACTGGCCCTGATGTGCCCTGCAGAGGAGTGTGTGGAGCCGTGGGACCCTCCTGTCCAGCTGGCTGTTTAATTTGTGCGAGAGCGTTTTTTTGGAACTGGGGTTTCAGCTCGGTTCTGGGGCACTGGGTCGGGGCTGCGGAAGTCAGTGCTCCCATCCGCTTTCTGTCCTCCTAGGTGGTGGTGACCAACACCGTCCCGCACGAGGTGCAGAAGCTGCAGTGCCCCAAGATAAAGACAGTGGACATCAGCTTGATTCTCTCGGAAGCGATCCGGCGGATTCACAATGGGGAGTCCATGGCGTACCTGTTCCGGAACATCACCGTGGACGACTAGGCGTCAGGGGGGCCCTGCCCTGAACCACCTGCGGAACGGGAGAAGGCAGCACCAGCAGTCCCGTGCGTGGGTTTCCTTCCAGGGTCACACCGCCTGCCACCAGCCTGGCAGGACGCATCAAGACGTAGAAGTCACAGCCAGCAACCAGCCTTAAGCTCTGCCGTCCTCCTCGCTGCCCTTCAAGTCACAGCTCTGTCTGCAGGGACTGCGCACCCACCTGGCTGCTGTGACGGATGGGAGGAGACGCAGTCTGGCTCTGTCCAGCTCGGTCCGCTGTTAGAACTGCAGAGAGAAGTGGCCGGGCGTGTCGCACCTACTTAGGGGAGCCGTGGCCCCACACTGTCCTCTTCTGCTGTCCTCTCCCAGAATCTTCATGGAAGTCTTTTAGAGCTGATTGCATTTTCCTTCCATAAGCTACCAGACGTGCAGCTGGTGTGCAGGGGGCTTGTCCCACAGTGCGGACGCCCGCGGAGAGAGCTGCATCACGTGTGGGTCTCTGCTGGCTTTTTAAATTGCAAATAAAAGAACTTGGTCTCACTCGTGTCTTCCCTGTGCGGCAGGGTGACCTCCTCCCCTGACATGACGAGGCATGAGGCCGGTGTCTGTCCAGAGGGTGCGGGAGGCAGCCGCTGATGGAGACCAGCCGCCCGGCTGCACAAAGCCTCCGTGAAGCGTGCGTGCGTCTGTGGCTCGATCCCTTCCTGAGCTCTAACCTGTGGGGTCGTAGGTTTCAAAACAAAACACAGCTACTCCAACTTTCCTGTACGCTAAATGGCAGCTGACCATGCTCTTTAAGAGCAGCTTTCATTATGTTTGTTGAGGACAGTCCTGGCAGAACACACACCATCTTGACAGATGATCACATTCTGGGTCTTGCATTCATACGGGCTGATGGTTTGAACAACACAGTCACACCCAGACTTGTCAGGTTTGCTGCACACACCTCTGCTGTCCAGGCGAGCCTGACTCTTGGTGACTTCATCAGAACCCACTGTTCTGGAGAACTCTCGAAGCCGTACGTCGTCAGGGGAGCTGACTGCCGCATCTCGGTCCTACAAAGGGTTCAGACCAGATGCCACAGCACTCTGCCACCAGGGCTTCTTGCATCCACACAGGCTGTTAGTGGGCCAGGTGGAGTGAGCTTCCTGTCCCAGGAAGGAGGAGCGTCCACCAGGTCACAGTCTGCAGTTGGGTGCGGTTCTGAGAAAGGTCATTTGCTGGTTTATAGGACTGTACCCGTGCAGGGGTGTTTCCTTTCACTCAGTTCATAATCAGCGTGCACACATTAGCTCTTCAGACACACAGGTGAGCCACCTCCAGGTAAATCCAAGCACGAGAAAGTTCTGCTCAAGCACAAGGTGAGTCCTGGGCTGCTGACCTTGATTGTAAAAGGGACGTTAGAAGCTACAGAAACCACTAAGGTCCTTTTCAGCTCCGTTTACACTGAGCCTAGTTAATGTTTGCTTACTTATCTCCTCATTGGGTCCCCTCGAATCTGTCCAGCTCAGAGCCCAGGGACATTGAAAGGCCCTGCGGGCTCCTGGCCCCCGCCTGACACTCCACTGTGTGGGGCCCACAGTGGCAGCCGCCTTGTGAGTCTCTCATGGAAGGCCTTTGCCGAACCTCTACTTTGACCAGCACCAGGTACCCCAGAGTCTCAGGAGGTGATGGTTACGTGTGTTTAGCAAAAGCACATAGGCTTTGCTACCCTTGAGGTGGGCATTTGGTAAATGCTGGGACGCTCCTAGAGGACTCTGGTGGCTTCGTGGTCAAGAGCTGAGTTGCCACACTGAAGGCACGTGTTCTGAGTCCACTAAGCCACTCCCCGGGAAAATGGACGGTCTCCTCCTGTGTGATTGGCACCCTCTGAGAGCCTGCCGGAGCGTCAGCTCAGTCACTTGTGACTAAGTGATGGATAGCAAGCGGATCCTGGTGGCCTTGTCCACGGTGACGTGCAGCTGAGCCACGGGCCAGGCCTCTGGTGTTTGGAAGAAAGAGAAACGGTCACCTCCATACAATGGACAGACAGCCAGCCTTGGAAAATCTGGAGGGGAATCTTTTGAGTTGGTTCTGACAGTTTGGTGGGTTTTTTTAAAAATAGGCTATAGTTAGATGGCTATGATTTTTTTGTGTTTTATTTTAATTTTTTTTTATTTTAATGAAAGTGTACAGAGCCTTTGGATTTCCATTCATTCATTGTTGCACTTTTCTCTCTGCCCAGCCTGCCTCCCCACCCCAGTTCACTCCTCTTTGAAAAGTAAAAGAAAAATTGTTATATAATCCCTTCCCCCAGATCCACTCCACTATGCAGCCTTCGTTCTGGACTCCTGTCATGACAATAATACCCAATCACATCTCTTTTAAACAGTTTTTTCCCTCTTCTTTTTAAACCATCTTTCTAATGTCAGTTCTGTTTAACAGTGACACCGTCCTTTTGTGACTGAGATACTTCACTCGGCATAATGTCCTACAAGGTCACCCATTTTGAATATTTTGTGAGTTCCTTGTTTTTTCAATGCAGTGTAGTATTCCAGTGTGTGAAGAATATACTACAAGCTTCTCTGTCCATATTTGTTGATGGGCACTTAAGTTGTTTCCAGCTCTTTGCTATTGTGATGAACAAAGCCACGGTAAACAGTTTGATAATACTTTTCTGCGTATCATTCTTGCACAGGGGCCCTGCTAATCCCTGAATTGTTCCAGTTTTAGTGTATGTGCTGTCAAAGCAAGCATAATGACTTTTTTTTTAAAGTTGTCTATGCCCCTTGCACGTTTCAGAATTGTGAAAACAAGCATGGGCACTAGTACAGCCGTCAGGGCTGCCAGCATTTTCTGCAAAGTCTCTCAAAACTGAGAAAGAACCCTCTGATCCAACTCATTCACACTCATCTCCAATTAATGTGCGTCCCTCAAGGGTTTAACTGTGATACTGTCCTTGAACTTGCTCAAGTATTTGCATAGGTGCATGAAAGGTGGCTTTTGTTGTGATGGATCCCGCAACAGCCATTAAAGGACCTACTGGGTGCAGGGTGGGGGTGAGGGAAATGCCACTGAGTGGCTGTTTCATGGAGGACAACGTAACTAAACAACGTCCCCAGCAGACACCTCCCTCTTGAAGTTCTAATGAACTGCTTTGTTAGTGGCCGGGAGCCGTGTGGGTCCAGCTGATCAAAGTCAGAATTCAGGAGGTTAAATGATAGGTGTGCACCATAGAGGCACTTTAATTCTTTTTATTGAGGAAGCAATTTTATGAACGGGCTAAAACACAACCTGGGACCACCTGTAACACAACGGAACAGCAAGCACCTTGGACCTGGACCGGGCTTGTAATCTCACTTGTGTACCAGAGGTACATACACTGCTGCCCAATTCTAACTTTTTAATTGAGATTTTAATGAAAGTTTATGAAGAACTTGGATTTCCATTTATTCACTGTTGCACATTTTCCTCTCTGCCCCTCCCCCCCAGTTAGCTTTTTTCTTTGGAAAGTTATTCACAGTCCACTCCCCGTAACACCCCCCTTTTCTACCGCTCTTACTCGGGGTTTTTACCATGCCAATAACACCTAATTATATATTCCTTTTCTACAGTTCTCGCTTCTGTTGCAGTATCGTGTACATTGTTTATTCCCTCTTTTCTTCGTTTTCCCCCACCTCCCTGGTCACTCCGGTTTTATAGCAGTGGCATTAGGCAGTCTTTGTGAAGCACCAATCAGGAGGTGTTCCTGTTTTCTGGAAGAAGCTGGAGCCGGCAGAGGTGTGTCTGGATCATGCAGGTTTTCCAGGCTGCCCTGCCCGCGCTGCCCAGAAGAGTGACCGGTTCGTGGTGAGGTCAGCACGTCCGCAGAAAGAAAAGGCCTGTTGGTGGGCCAACTGGAGTCAGCCTCTTGTTCAGTGATTTGAACGCAGCGAGCCAACCGTCTCGAAAGGACCAAGAACTCGACATTAGGTTGCTCAGCTACCCACCTCTCGGCCCAGGTGTAGAGAAATACCAAGCAGGGTTAGAGATGGGGGAGCGGCCCAGGGGAGGGCAGGGTTCAGGTGAGTGGTTGATAGGGTCGTCAGTCCTCAGCGCAAAGGACAGGGGTTTGAGGCCAACCTTTGAGAGGCCTCCCTGACGCGCTGGGGCCTCGGCCCAACCCCTCCGGCCTTTCATGGAGACTTGGCAGGAAAAAAACTCCGTGACTCGACCCGGGCTCGCCCTTCAACCCCGCGGCCCTGCCCCCTCCGCTCTGCGCCTGCCTGGCTTGGGGGGCGGTGCACAATCTCGGGAGTTCTCACGTGGAATCCTGGGGCGCGCGCGGGGCACTCGCTCCAAACGTCTGCGGCCGCGGAGGCTGCTGTCCCCGCAGCCAGGCCCTGCGGCCCCCGGTCAGCTGAGCTCTGAGCTCCCTGACCTCGCCTGGACACGGGGCAGGGACACCCCTGGACCTCCAGGGTCCCCGAAAGTCCTCAGAGGCACGGCAGTGAGCGGCCGCCTCCTCACTAGGGCGCACACGGCGCCGCCATGGAGGCCTCCAGGGTGACCATGCTGCAGCTGGCCGACCTGGCCATCGGCACCCCGGAGGTGGGCGCGGTCAACTTCAACGCCCTTCACACACTCATGGTGGCCCTCCTCAGGAGGCTCAACCTCCACCACACCGAGGTGGACTACTCCCGGAGCGGGGAGACGCCCAGGTCCTCCATCAGCATGCCCTCGTTGGCCCCCACCCGGGAGAGGAAGAAGAGCTTGCCGAGGGCGGCCCCCCAGGCGTTGGAGAGCCAGGTGAAGGTGCTCGGCGAGCAGATGAAGGACGTCAATGAGCAGGTGGTCGATTTTGGCAAACAGCTCAAGACCATGGAGACCCAAATGCAGGGCGTCATTGGTCACGTGCAGCACCTAACAGCCCCTTGGCTCCAAAAGACGGAGCCAGACCAAGAGTGGCTGGAGAAGGGGATGGCTATTATGATGCCCGAGAAGGCCTGGGCCACGGCTGAGCCTGAGAAGACACAGAAGATGCCCAGACCTGAGACCACAGTGGCCACACTGGGGCCTGACCAGAAGCC